AGCAAATGATGGAATCCTTTAACAAGCAAATGTTAGAATCTAACAAGCAACTGTTGACATCATTGCAGCCCACTCTCCAAATGGTTCATTCACATACTCAGTCAATAGCTAAACTTGGGAATCAAGTGGGACAAATAACTAATTCAATGAACCAACTTCTTCCAAGAGATAAGGGAAAACTTCCTGCTCAACCATTTGAGAATCCTAGAGGGATACATGTGATTGACGAAGTCCCTCCTCCGAGTGGGCCTACTCATGAACATGTCCAAGCAATCACCACCCTTAGGAGTGGTCGAATTGTGGACAACAAGGTTGATGGAGGAAAAGATGAACCAGTTCTTCCTCCCAAAAATCCAAATCCTAGCTCGTCTAATCCAAATTTACCAGGAAGATTTTCTTAATTCATTGGCTCCAAATGGCCTCTCGCCACATAAGTTAACGTTAAAAGTCGATTGTCCTATAATGTTGCTGAGAAATTTGGATCCGACAAATGGATTGTGTAATGGTACTAGGCTCATCTGTCGTGGAACAAAGGCCAATGTGATCAATGCATAAATCAGCCATGGACAACATGCTAGAAAACAAGTACTAATTCCAAGAATACCCCTATGCCTGGCAGATAGTGAAGCTACGCCTTTCCATTTTACACGACAACAGTTTCCAATCCGGTTGAGTTTTGCAATGACAATAAATAAGGCACAGGGCCAAACAATTCCTTATGTTGGAGTTTATCTACCTGAGCACGTGTTCTCCCATGGAAAATTATATGTCGCACTATCTAGAGGAACTTCAATGTCAACTACTAAAGTACTTGTTAAGAAGGATCAAACAAACATTAGAGGTGGTACATACACTAAAAATGTTGTCTATAAGGAGGTTCTCAGTCTGAAAGGTAAGGATACCCACATTAATATCCATGCCTTCCCATTCCAAAATTATTTTGCATTGTTCGAAAAGTAAAGATACCCCACATTCGCTACCAATTATTACAATATTTAAATCTTTCACTCACAATTTTATTTTTTTAAAAATATAAAAAAATATTAACTTAGATTTAACTTACTATTGATGTATATATATATTTTTTCATTTCTATTTTGATACTTGATCATTCTTATTTCATAATTTTATTTTTAATTTTTATTTTCTTTAACCTTAATTCTTTTTTCTTTTAATCATGCAGAAAAAATCATGAAAATGAATAACGGTCACTAAAGCTTTGACTTAATAAATTCACTTGTTAGTTTAAAAACAGAATCGACAATAAAAGTAATTGTATTTCGAAGAGCAATCGAGAAATACAAATCAGGAACAATGTTGAAAGTAGTTTTGATGGATGATGATGTAAGTATACCATCGGCTATTTCTGTTAGTTTCATTAAATGCATCTATATTTGTATGGCAACATTGTTATTTAGTGATCTTATTAATGATCTTTTTCTTCATTCTATATATCTTTTTTACTCTTTCAGGGAACACAAATTCAAGGTGTCTTGTTTAACGAGCTCGTCACCAAATTCAGTGATTCACTATTGCTTCACAAGACATACAGAATTTCTAGTGTAACTGTAAAAGACGTCAATCTTATATATAGGAGTGTGCATAAGGAGTATGAATTGAAATTTCTTAATAACACCTCAATTGAAGTTGAAGAGCTTGAAGTAGTAAGCTTAGAAACAATAAACTTTAATTTTGTGGACTTCAAGGAGCTAAACAAGTACACTGATGCAAAAGAAAATATGGGTTAGTTTTTGTTTAATTCTCAACTCTCCATATATATGTTCTCTCTTGTACATATATAAATTTAAAATTAAAAATTTTTATTTTTTATTTTATTTTTAATCTGGCTAGATGTTTTGGGAATTGTTATTAAGGTATCTCCTACATTGAACATATGTAAGAAGAACAACAAAGGCACAACCAAAAAGCGAAAAGTCATTATAATGGATATGAGGTACATTATTACTATATTGCATATACGATCATAATTATGCCAATATAATATAATGACTAAAGCAATTAATCTTTATTACTGTTCAAGGACAACTACTTTGACGTTATGGGAGGATCTTGTTGAGAATGAATGAAACTTTATCGTGAAACTAATACAAAAAAGACCTCTTATCACAGTTACACATGTGGCAATCAACACCTACAAAGGTAAATTATCATACAAATTGATATTATTTACATTATATATTATTAAGTAAATCTATAATAACAAAATTTTACAAATAATAATGTTATATTCGAGGCCTGTGTCTTCAAACGCAAAAATGATCTACATTGCAAATCAATATGGATATTGAAAGTGTCAAAGCATTAAAACATTGGTTCGTTATTTATTCCAACTTCTTTTATATTATATTATATATATATATATATATATATATATATATATACATATATATAAAGCTATATGTAATCTTTTTCTTTGAGCATGTTCATATATAACTAAACATATATGTCAGATGATATTTGTTTTTATATTTTTATATTGTAGACTTCTTGGTGCAAAATATACACTATTTGTAGAAAGAGAACATGTTTTTCTGTTTTATTTATTTAATTATTTTACACGATAATTTATATGTGGACAGGTCCAAAGAGAACATAAATAACAAAGATATAAGAAGTTTGATTTCCAGTACAAAAGATCAAAAATTCAATGGTGCTGAAAAAGTCAAACTTCAAGACATAATAGGAAAATCTACAATGTCCTTTGAGATATTAAATTTTAGTATATTTCTTAATCTTTCTTAATTGTATATCACATTTTTATATTCAATTTATATATTGAAAAGTTATATTTTGTTGCACAACCTGCAAAAAACAAATTACTATTTCGAAGCAACAATTGAAAATGTTGTTAATGACTGCGAACCGTGGTACAACGCCTGTGAGAAATGCAATAAGAAAATAAAAGTTGAAAAAGATAGAGTATACTGTCCTCGATGTAACACAATAGACCCAAAAGGCTTTCAAAAGTATTATTATATCCTAAAACCTTATTATTGTATTTATTTCAATGATTTAATAATATTACAAATACATAATTTTTTGTCTTTACTCATGCAGATTCATGATGATAATTAAAGTGCGAAGTATGGAACATATTGCAACACTTGCAACCCTAATGGTGTTCAATGATTGCCAAACATTAATAAATTGTTTATTAGATGATTTACTACAATTACAAATTGAGGTAATTTCCTACCCTTATTTATAAAATTTTAATTAAATTTTTTAAAAAAATACTTACTTGAATTTCTCAATAGTTCTAAATTATATTTCTTCTTTTTGCAGGACATGGATGAATTTAGCAACAAAGTGACAAGCTGCAAAGGGAAATCATTTTTTTTTTTTTTTTTTTTTCCTGGTGAAGATAGACAATACTCAACAACAAGTCGTCAAAACTTATTTTGCGGTAGAAGAATTAAAAGAATTGACACTTGACAATGATTCATTTCATGAAAAAATGAGATATGCAAAAAAGATAAAGATTGAGAATTAAATAATTTAGGAATACTTTTATTTTCAAACAGTTATAGTTTTAAATTTTCTAATATATTTTGTCTCTTTTGATGTGACAATTATTACAATCTAAACATTGTTGGTACTCTTTCGGATTTTATAATAATTTATAGAATTTTTATATAGTATTTATTTATGAATGTTTTGTAAATTATAGAATTTTAATTTTCATATATTTTTTTAAATGTTTATAGTTTTCATTCATTCATTAATGGAAAACCTTATTTTGTTTCTTTGAGGTGACAATTATTACTCTCTAAACATTGTTCATATGAATACTTTTATTTTCAAAGAGTTATGGTTTATGAATAATTGAGATGACAATTAATACACTCTAAATATTGTTGATAAAAATTCATTTAATATCCAACAATATCATATAACGAAGAGATCGATAAGTGACAAAACATTCAACACGTGCATCGCACGTGCATTTTACTAGTATTATTAAAAGTGTAAAGATTTTCATTATTTCAGTGTTTCAATATTTCAGTATTTATTTATTAATATACAAAAAGATTTATTAATTGATATGAAATGAATTAAAATAAAAGAGTTTCTATAAATATAATGAATTAAAATAAAATAGTTTTTATAAAACTTTTAGAACAACTAAAACAAGTTACCTATAAAAATAAAATAAGTAATTATTTAATAAAATAACTTACCAAATAATAAAATAAATTACCAATTAAAATAAAATAGGCAATTGTTTAATTGAATTTCAATCAGGATATTTCAAATCATTTATAGATAAAATAGTAAAATAATTTACCAAATAATAAAATAAGTTAACAATTAAAATAAATCCTCGAAGTTACCAATTATAATAAATACTATTATGCTTGAAATTCTTTAAGGTTAAAACAACTTTTCTGTTTCTATTTTATTGTATATCTAATATAAAATGATTAAAATAAAAGAGTTTCTATAAATAAAATGAATTAAAATAAAAGATTTTCTATAAAACTATTAGAACAACTAAAACAAGTTATGATTCAAATCATTTATAGATAAAATAATAAAATAATTTACCAAATAATAAAATAAGGTACCAATTAAAATAAATCATATTATGCTCGGAATTCTTTAATGTCAAAACAACTTTATTTTTTTTATTTTATTATATTTCTAACTCTTTCCTAAACCTAAAGTTACCAATTAAAATAAATTCTATTATGCTTAGAATTTTTGAAGGTTAAAACAATTTTACTTTTTCTATTTTATTTTATTTCTAACTCATTCCTAAATATAAATATAGATCTAAGTATTTTTATTATAATATTATAATAAAATTATTATTATATATGTATATATTTTTTTCTTAGTTAGTATTTACACACATATCTATTCTAGACTTGATCTCTTAATTTTTATTTGAAAAATAAAAGACTGATACCACTTGCCGTTAGTAGTTTATTATGATGTTGTGGGGTGATACAGTAGTTACATTTATATATGAAAAAAATAAAAGAATTTAAGTTACGGCGAGTCTTGGTTTGGGTATTGAGGGCCTCAAAATAGGGATGGGAAAAAAAAAAAAAAAATTATGGCAAGTCGGTCTGAATCGCAAGAAAGTCTGAATCACAACAATTTCTTCTGCAGAAACTAGGGTTTGTGTTGTGTTTGTTTGCTGATCGTCATCAATTTGTAACTAATCTTGACCATATTATATATCGGTAGGTTTACATTTCTTATTTGGGGTTTAGGGTTTATCATTTGGCTGGTTTGTGCCGTGATTTGTATGGTAGATATTTTCGGTTCATAATTGGGGGTTTGGGGGTTTTCTTTAAATTGTTCTTGTTTCATTAAATTGGTTGCAGATTGGGGGTTTCATCAAATGTTAATTACTTTCTTGTTGTTTCACTTCTGTAACCTTAGTGATTACTGTTAAAAGATAATTTTTTTTGTTTATGTTATATTTTGATGAGATTAATTATGCAACCCAAGTGAATGTATATTGTATGAAGGAACAATGCAAAATCAGTGGTGATTTTGGGTTCCACCCTGATATCATACACTGTTTAGTTACTTAAGGGGTTGCAATTATGTTATTCTGTGTTATTGTTACTGACTTCTGTGATTTGTGATCAATTACAGGATTTTATTTTTATTTTTATTTTTATTTTTTAATAGTATGATTGTTTTGATGTCAGTACTATGGATCTTGATAAAGAACCAGAACCTGATCTTGAAGATTACCAAATAGACCGTTCATATATAAAGATGAGAGAACAGGCTAAGACTCGGTCGCTAAAGCTAAGGTATAATTCAAGTTCTAGCCTAATGTTATTTCAATTTGTAATTCAAATTTAGTTCTAATTGTTATAATGCTGAAATTTTTAGGATAAAGAATCAATACTAGAAGGTTACAGATCTGGTGTGAGGAGCTATTATTTTGAATTTGAATTTGAATTTGAATGCAAAGAAGCCTGGGCCGAAAAAATGTGGAAGGGAGTAATAGTAAAACATGGACGAATGAAAGAAGATGCTCGATTTTGGTGTTTGTGCAGAAAATGAAGATATCAGAGAGTAGCCATTGATTCAATACTGATGTTGAAGGAATTCAGAACTCCATATCTGTTGAGACCGACTGATGTTGGTGTGGACTTCAACCAAGAAGTGATTGTGATTAGTCATGAAGGATTTGATTCCTATTTTGTTGAGTGGTTGAAGCTTGGAAACAACATAGAAGCTGAGAGTCAGCCTTTTTTTGTAAACACATTCGGCGACTATGAATTCAAGGAGTTCTGGATTGAATCGATGATGAGATAAGAATATTTTTTTATTTCAAAAAACTCCTTTCTTTATTTGAGTAGTATATTATAATAATACAATTTTTTATTATCAATTCCATAAACATTCTAGATACAACAGGGTATCTACACAAAATGGGTAGAGCCCATGGAAATGTTCTCCATGATGGCTCATATGTTACGCGGAGAGGAAAGATGCATCTCATCATTCCTTCGATGGATGAAATGATGGCAGAACAAAACGGAAGACCTTGGAAATTCAAAAAGTTCATATTCCGTCATATTGGCCTAAACAATCATCCAACTAGGCCTCACGATTGGAATCCATTCTACAATTACAAGACCTCTAAGTATGTTCTTTGAATTTTATATCAACATTTCTTTTAATCTATTCAATTATGGCCCTTATATTCTTTTATTGCTCGAAGTTTTTCATTTATTTCTCTTAGTATATACTAGTTTTTTCAATCTTAGATTCATTTATTGCTTCAAGTTAGTAGTAATTGGTCATGTTAATTATACAGAGCATCCTGCTATTGAAACACCATTTGTTATTGAATGAGAAAGTGATATTTCAATACTTTGTGGCTCTTCGCCATCATTTGGGATATCATCACAAGGATTATACTTTTAACACTGACCAGAAAATCAATCAAAAGTTGATCAATCCATGGGGAAAGGCAAATTGGATAGATAAGGTTCGCATGGCTCATAAAAAGTGACAAATGTGTGTTCCTTAGGTTCTGCAGTATCAATAAAATGAGGCTGGAAGTGTAAACCAATACAAATCTTGTATGTCTGATTTGGTTCGTTTTGTTGATAATACAACCCATCATGGTTGTGACCATGCAAAGAAATTTAAGGAACTGGTATGCCATTTTACTTTTGTGTTGTTTCTGTTTGCTTAAAAATTTTTTTTCCTGACCTACTTTCAAACTTTATTTGTTTAATGAGCATTCTGTTTTTTCTCAATTAGATATATCTTGAAGAAGATGTAGCCATGGAGTTGGGGCACATATTTCCAGGCTTTCTCTCAGCCTTCACACAAAGTTTCGATCGAAGTGTTTGATTATCTGATAATGTAGCTTCTAATCTTAATATGCTCAGGTACAGTGATATAACATGACTTAGCCAGAATTTAGTTGTGTTTTCAGTGATTTTAGTAACACTATCAGTGGCAAGTGATGTTTCCTTGGTATTTTGTCACCATGGCTTAGACTGTTTTGTTTTCTCTAATAGTTCTTGAATGTGAGCCAGAATTTAGTTGTGTTTCCAGTGATTTTCTTAACACTATCAGTGGCAAGTGATGTTTCCTTGGTATTTTTTCACCATGGTTTAGACTGTTTTGTTTTTTCTAATAGTTCTTGAATGTGAGCCAGAATTTAGTTGTGTTTCCAGTGATTTTAGTAACACTGTCGGTGGCAAGTGATGTTTCCTTGGTATTTTGTCACCATGGTTTAGACTATTTTGTTTTCTCTAATAGTTCTTGAATGTGAGCCAGAATTTAGTTGTGTTTCCAGTGGTTTTAGTAACACTATCAGTGGCAATTGATGTTTCATTGGTATTTTGTCACCATGGTTTAGACTTTTGTTCTCTCTAATTGTTCTTGAATGTGAGACGGACTCTCATACTTGTTTGTCTTCTATGCGTGACATGTGCTTAAATTATCCTCAGAAGTGTGTACTGTTCTTGGGACGCGTTCCCTTCCTTCTAATACAATTTTACTTATCAAAAAAATAAAAAAAATATTCTCAGAAGTACACTACACTAGAATTTTACCATTGAACAAAAAAATTAATCATGTTATTTATATTTCAAAGTGTTAACGTCTGGGTCAAATCGGCTAAACATTTGTGAATGATTGGGGTTAAAGGTACATAAATTGTTTTAATATTGTCTATTGGACATTTTTAAAGTTAATTGGGTGTGGATTGATAACATAAATTGTCAATGAACATGTATATTTGGTCAAATTAAATCTAAAAAATTGTTTAAAAAGAAATTGATATTTGACCATCCCAAAGTGTACTTGTTATTTATTGTTGCCCATCTAATTGTTGCATGTGGATTCGAACGTCCTTTAGATTCAATAAATTAACCTTGCGAAGTCGAAACCGAGAACTGGACCGAAGCCCCAAGAGTTGAGCAAATTATCCCTCCACTTTCAATGGACCTTGCGGCTCCTTGCCTATTTCATCCCTACATGTGGGTGGCGTCATGAGAGCCTGTTTCGGAATTCAAATGGACTTTTCATTCTGACTTTCACATTTTAGGAATTTTTTATTTTATTTTTTTAATTGATACTTAAATACACATGTCTCGTCTGATACTTGAACTCCTGACCTCTCTTTAAAAAATAAGAGACTGATATCGCTATATCATTAACAGTTGGTCACACTTTAGAACTTGAATTGTAGGCAATCACTTGGATCAATCATTTTCATCGTGGGTTTGTTTTTTCATTGATTGATATATACATCATATGCAACACATAGGACTGCCCTTGGCACTCCTTTAATTAGTAATGTAATATTTTACACAGGGCAGTGAATATATACATATAGACAGAGGTACCATCTACCTGGAGAAATCACCATTGAACTTAAATAAATTTCAGGTGTCTATCATCTTCAAACTCTTTACACAATATAAATGAATCAAGATTAAGTTGAAATTTGTAGGGTTTGTGAGTAAATAAAAAGAGAAGAAAAGGGAGAGAGGAGGAAAAACATTATTCTCGTAGGGTAGAATAAAACCTACTACAGATTCTACATCACTCTAAAATTATATATAAATAGCAAGAAAATAAAACTGCCTTTAATACAGTAAGGCCTAATAACCCAACTCTCACCCCCTTCAAGTTGGAGCATATAGGCTTTGTTTGGATACACAGGAAAGAAAGGAAATGATTATAAGAGAAAATAAATAAAAAAAAAAAAAGAAAAGAAAAGAAAGGAAATGAGAGCTATAATTATAGGCTTCGTTTGGATACACAGGAAAGAAAAGAAAGGAAAAGATTATAAGAGAAAATAAATAAAAGAAAAGAAAAGAAAAGAAAGGAAATGATAGCTATAATTTATATTCATGTTTGGATAGATAGGAGAGAAAATAAAGTAATGAGTAATATTCTTGTTTGGATAACAAAGATGAGAGAAAAGAAAGGAAAATAATAATTAAAATTACTGTTTTACCCTTTTTTGTGGGGTTAGTAGGACAAATCATTTCAGCCACCCCAATGCCAGCCACCCCAAATAATTAAAATTACTGTTTTACCCTTCTTCTTTTTTTTTTTTTTTTTTTCTAAATTAACTAACCAAGGTTTGTAATTTATAAGCCCATGAATGATGGCCACCAGAAAATATATATATATATATATATATATATATTTAGGGCAAATCATTTTAGCCTCCCCAATGCCTCCATCTCTATTCTCGTTATTCTCCCCCTCTCTCTCTCTGAAACTGCTAACTTCTATGTAATGGGTTTTGTTTTAAATTTTTTTTTTTTTCTCCTAAATCAACTAACCGGTCTGTAATTTATTGCCACCGGAAAACATATATATAATTAGGGCAAATCATTTCAGCCTCCCCAATCACCTCTATCTCTATTCTTGTTCTTAACTCTGAACCTGCCCCCATTTTCTCTCTCTCTCTGCAACTGCAAACTACAAAATCTACAAGAATCAGAAGTTTAAAACCCATATATTTCAGTATGTCTGTCTGTCAAATTGTTTATTAGATGATTTACTACAATTACAAATTGAGGTAATTTCCTACCCTTATTTATAAAATTTTAATTAAATTTTTTAAAAAAATACTTACTTGAATTTCTCAATAGTTCTAAATTATATTTCTTCTTTTTGCAGGACATGGATGAATTTAGCAACAAAGTGACAAGCTGCAAAGGGAAATCATTTTTTTTTTTTTTTTTTTTTCCTGGTGAAGATAGACAATACTCAACAACAAGTCGTCAAAACTTATTTTGCGGTAGAAGAATTAAAAGAATTGACACTTGACAATGATTCATTTCATGAAAAAATGAGATATGCAAAAAAGATAAAGATTGAGAATTAAATAATTTAGGAATACTTTTATTTTCAAACAGTTATAGTTTTAAATTTTCTAATATATTTTGTCTCTTTTGATGTGACAATTATTACAATCTAAACATTGTTGGTACTCTTTCGGATTTTATAATAATTTATAGAATTTTTATATAGTATTTATTTATGAATGTTTTGTAAATTATAGAATTTTAATTTTCATATATTTTTTTAAATGTTTATAGTTTTCATTCATTCATTAATGGAAAACCTTATTTTGTTTCTTTGAGGTGACAATTATTACTCTCTAAACATTGTTCATATGAATACTTTTATTTTCAAAGAGTTATGGTTTATGAATAATTGAGATGACAATTAATACACTCTAAATATTGTTGATAAAAATTCATTTAATATCCAACAATATCATATAACGAAGAGATCGATAAGTGACAAAACATTCAACACGTGCATCGCACGTGCATTTTACTAGTATTATTAAAAGTGTAAAGATTTTCATTATTTCAGTGTTTCAATATTTCAGTATTTATTTATTAATATACAAAAAGATTTATTAATTGATATGAAATGAATTAAAATAAAAGAGTTTCTATAAATATAATGAATTAAAATAAAATAGTTTTTATAAAACTTCTAGAACAACTAAAACAAGTTACCTATAAAAATAAAATAAGTAATTATTTAATAAAATAACTTACCAAATAATAAAATAAATTACCAATTAAAATAAAATAGGCAATTGTTTAATTGAATTTCAATCAGGATATTTCAAATCATTTATAGATAAAATAGTAAAATAATTTACCAAATAATAAAATAAGTTAACAATTAAAATAAATCCTCGAAGTTACCAATTATAATAAATACTATTATGCTTGAAATTCTTTAAGGTTAAAACAACTTTTCTGTTTCTATTTTATTGTATATCTAATATAAAATGATTAAAATAAAAGAGTTTCTATAAATAAAATGAATTAAAATAAAAGATTTTCTATAAAACTATTGGAACAACTAAAACAAGTTATGATTCAAATCATTTATAGATAAAATAATAAAATAATTTACCAAATAATAAAATAAGGTACCAATTAAAATAAATCATATTATGCTCGGAATTCTTTAATGTCAAAACAACTTTATTTTTTTTATTTTATTATATTTCTAACTCTTTCCTAAACCTAAAGTTACCAATTAAAATAAATTCTATTATGCTTAGAATTTTTGAAGGTTAAAACAATTTTACTTTTTCTATTTTATTTTATTTCTAACTCATTCCTAAATATAAATATAGATCTAAGTATTTTTATTATAATATTATAATAAAATTATTATTATATATGTATATATTTTTTTCTTAGTTAGTATTTACACACATATCTATTCTAGACTTGATCTCCTAATTTTTATTTGAAAAATAAAAGACTGATACCACTTGCCGTTAGTAGTTTATTATGATGTTGTGGGGTGATACAGTAGTTACATTTATATATGAAAAAAATAAAAGAATTTAAGTTACGGCGAGTCTTGGTTTGGGTATTGAGGGCCTCAAAATAGGGATGGGAAAAAAAAAAAAAAAATTATGGCAAGTCGGTCTGAATCGCAAGAAAGTCTGAATCACAACAATTTCTTCTGCAGAAACTAGGGTTTGTGTTGTGTTTGTTTGCTGATCGTCATCAATTTGTAACTAATCTTGACCATATTATATATCGGTAGGTTTACATTTCTTATTTGGGGTTTAGGGTTTATCATTTGGCTGGTTTGTGCCGTGATTTGTATGGTAGATATTTTCGGTTCATAATTGGGGGTTTGGGGGTTTTCTTTAAATTGTTCTTGTTTCATTAAATTGGTTGCAGATTGGGGGTTTCATCAAATGTTAATTACTTTCTTGTTGTTTCACTTCTGTAACCTTAGTGATTACTGTTAAAAGATAATTTTTTTTGTTTATGTTATATTTTGATGAGATTAATTATGCAACCCAAGTGAATGTATATTGTATGAAGGAACAATGCAAAATCAGTGGTGATTTTGGGTTCCACCCTGATATCATACACTGTTTAGTTACTTAAGGGGTTGCAATTATGTTATTCTGTGTTATTGTTACTGACTTCTGTGATTTGTGATCAATTACAGGATTTTATTTTTATTTTTATTTTTATTTTTTAATAGTATGATTGTTTTGATGTCAGTACTATGGATCTTGATAAAGAACCAGAACCTGATCTTGAAGATTACCAAATAGACCGTTCATATATAAAGATGAGAGAACAGGCTAAGACTCGGTCGCTAAAGCTAAGGTATAATTCAAGTTCTAGCCTAATGTTATTTCAATTTGTAATTCAAATTTAGTTCTAATTGTTATAATGCTGAAATTTTTAGGATAAAGAATCAATACTAGAAGGTTACAGATCTGGTGTGAGGAGCTATTATTTTGAATTTGAATTTGAATTTGAATGCAAAGAAGCCTGGGCCGAAAAAATGTGGAAGGGAGTAATAGTAAAACATGGACGAATGAAAGGAGATGCTCGATTTTGGTGTTTGTGCAGAAAATGAAGATATCAGAGAGTAGCCATTGATTCAATACTGATGTTGAAGGAATTCAGAACTCCATATCTGTTGAGACCGACTGATGTTGGTGTGGACTTCAACCAAGAAGTGATTGTGATTAGTCATGAAGGATTTGATTCCTATTTTGTTGAGTGGTTGAAGCTTGGAAACAACATAGAAGCTGAGAGTCAGCCTTTTTTTGTAAACACATTCGGCGACTATGAATTCAAGGAGTTCTGGATTGAATCGATGATGAGATAAGAATATTTTTTTATTTCAAAAAACTCCTTTCTTTATTTGAGTAGTATATTATAATAATACAATTTTTTATTATCAATTCCATAAACATTCTAGATACAACAGGGTATCTACACAAAATGGGTAGAGCCCATGGAAATGTTCTCCATGATGGCTCATATGTTACGCGGAGAGGAAAGATGCATCTCATCATTCCTTCGATGGATGAAATGATGGCAGAACAAAACGGAAGACCTTGGAAATTCAAAAAGTTCATATTCCGTCATATTGGCCTAAACAATCATCCAACTAGGCCTCACGATTGGAATCCATTCTACAATTACAAGACCTCTAAGTATGTTCTTTGAATTTTATATCAACATTTCTTTTAATCTATTCAATTATGGCCCTTATATTCTTTTATTGCTCGAAGTTTTTCATTTATTTCTCTTAGTATATACTAGTTTTTTCAATCTTAGATTCATTTATTGCTTCAAGTTAGTAGTAATTGGTCATGTTAATTATACAGAGCATCCTGCTATTGAAACACCATTTGTTATTGAATGAGAAAGTGATATTTCAATACTTTGTGGCTCTTCGCCATCATTTGGGATATCATCACAAGGATTATACTTTTAACACTGACCAGAAAATCAATCAAAAGTTGATCAATCCATGGGGAAAGGCAAATTGGATAGATAAGGTTCGCATGGCTCATAAAAAGTGACAAATGTGTGTTCCTTAGGTTCTGCAGTATCAATAAAATGAGGCTGGAAGTGTAAACCAATACAAATCTTGTATGTCTGATTTGGTTCGTTTTGTTGATAATACAACCCATCATGGTTGTGACCATGCAAAGAAATTTAAGGAACTGGTATGCCATTTTACTTTTGTGTTGTTTCTGTTTGCTTAAAAATTTTTTTTCCTGACCTACTTTCAAACTTTATTTGTTTAATGAGCATTCTGTTTTTTCTCAATTAGATATATCTTGAAGAAGATGTAGCCATGGAGTTGGGGCACATATTTCCAGGCTTTCTCTCAGCCTTCACACAAAGTTTCGATCGAAGTGTTTGATTATCTGATAATGTAGCTTCTAATCTTAATATGCTCAGGTACAGTGATATAACATGACTTAGCCAGAATTTAGTTGTGTTTTCAGTGATTTTAGTAACACTATCAGTGGCAAGTGATGTTTCCTTGGTATTTTGTCACCATGGCTTAGACTGTTTTGTTTTCTCTAATAGTTCTTGAATGTGAGCCAGAATTTAGTTGTGTTTCCAGTGATTTTCTTAACACTATCAGTGGCAAGTGATGTTTCCTTGGTATTTTTTCACCATGGTTTAGACTGTTTTGTTTTTTCTAATAGTTCTTGAATGTGAGCCAGAATTTAGTTGTGTTTCCAGTGATTTTAGTAACACTGTCGGTGGCAAGTGATGTTTCCTTGGTATTTTGTCACCATGGTTTAGACTATTTTGTTTTCTCTAATAGTTCTTGAATGTGAGCCAGAATTTAGTTGTGTTTCCAGTGGTTTTAGTAACACTATCAGTGGCAATTGATGTTTCATTGGTATTTTGTCACCATGGTTTAGACTTTTGTTCTCTCTAATTGTTCTTGAATGTGAGACGGACTCTCATACTTGTTTGTCTTCTATGCGTGACATGTGCTTAAATTATCCTCAGAAGTGTGTACTGTTCTTGGGACGCGTTCCCTTCCTTCTAATACAATTTTACTTATCAAAAAAATAAAAAAAATATTCTCAGAAGTACACTACACTAGAATTTTACCATTGAACAAAAAAATTAATCATGTTATTTATATTTCAAAGTGTTAACGTCTGGGTCAAATCGGCTAAACATTTGTGAATGATTGGGGTTAAAGGTACATAAATTGTTTTAATATTGTCTATTGGACATTTTTAAAGTTAATTGGGTGTGGATTGATAACATAAATTGTCAATGAACATGTATATTTGGTCAAATTAAATCTAAAAAATTGTTTAAAAAGAAATTGATATTTGACCATCCCAAAGTGTACTTGTTATTTATTGTTGCCCATCTAATTGTTGCATGTGGATTCGAACGTCCTTTAGATTCAATAAATTAACCTTGCGAAGTCGAAACCGAGAACTGGACCGAAGCCCCAAGAGTTGAGCAAATTATCCCTCCACTTTCAATGGACCTTGCGGCTCCTTGCCTATTTCATCCCTACATGTGGGTGGCGTCATGAGAGCCTGTTTCGGAATTCAAATGGACTTTTCATTCTGACTTGCACATTTTAGGAATTTTTTATTTTATTTTTTTAATTGATACTTAAATACACATGTCTCGTCTCGCTATATCATTAACAGTTGGTCACACTTTAGAACTTGAATTGTAGGCAATCACTTGGATCAATCATTTTCATCGTGGGTTTGTTTTTTCATTGATTGATATATACATCATATGCAACACATAGGACTGCCCTTGGCACTCCTTTAATTAGTAATGTAATATTTTACACAGGGCAGTGAATATATACATATAGACAGAGGTACCATCTACCTGGAGAAATCACCATTGAACTTAAATAAATTTCAGGTGTCTATCATCTTCAAACTCTTTACACAATATAAATGAATCAAGATTAAGTTGAAATTTGTAGGGTTTGTGAGTAAATAAAAAGAGAAGAAAAGGGAGAGAGGAGGAAAAACATTATTCTCGTAGGGTAGAATAAAACCTACTACAGATTCTACATCACTCTAAAATTATATATAAATAGCAAGAAAATAAAACTGCCTTTAATACAGTAAGGCCTAATAACCCAACTCTCACCCCCTTCAAGTTGGAGCATATAGGCTTTGTTTGGATACACAGGAAAGAAAGGAAATGATTATAAGAGAAAATAAATAAAAAAAAAAAAAGAAAAGAAAAGAAAGGAAATGAGAGCTATAATTATAGGCTTCGTTTGGATACACAGGAAAGAAAAGAAAGGAAAAGATTATAAGAGAAAATAAATAAAAGAAAAGAAAAGAAAAGAAAGGAAATGATAGCTATAATTTATATTCATGTTTGGATAGATAGGAGAGAAAATAAAGTAATGAGTAATATTCTTGTTTGGATAACAAAGATGAGAGAAAAGAAAGGAAAATAATAATTAAAATTACTGTTTTACCCTTTTTTGTGGGGTTAGTAGGACAAATCATTTCAGCCACCCCAATGCCAGCCACCCCAAATAATTAAAATTACTGTTTTACCCTTCTTCTTTTTTTTTTTTTTTTTTTCTAAATTAACTAACCAAGGTTTGTAATTTATAAGCCCATGAATGATGGCCACCAGAAAATATATATATATATATATATATATATATTTAGGGCAAATCATTTTAGCCTCCCCAATGCCTCCATCTCTATTCTCGTTATTCTCCCCCTCTCTCTCTCTGAAACTGCTAACTTCTATGTAATGGGTTTTGTTTTAAATTTTTTTTTTTTTCTCCTAAATCAACTAACCGGTCTGTAATTTATTGCCACCGGAAAACATATATATAATTAGGGCAAATCATTTCAGCCTCCCCAATCACCTCTATCTCTATTCTTGTTCTTAACTCTGAACCTGCCCCCATTTTCTCTCTCTCTCTGCAACTGCAAACTACAAAATCTACAAGAATCAGAAGTTTAAAACCCATATATTTCAGTATGTCTGTCTGTCAAATTAGGGTATGTATGTGTATATATATATATTTGTATCCCTTTGTTTATGTATATATATATAAAGGAAGCAAATCATTTCAGCCTCCCCAATCGCCTCCATTCCTCTATTCTCGTTCTCAACTCTGAACTCGCCCTCTCTCTCTCTCTCTGTGTAACTGCAAACTACAATATACAAGGCTACTTCTGTCATTGTCTTCCTTTCCCTTCAAATCCCTCCAAACAGACAAGTCAATATCCTTCCCTTTCTTTTCTCTCCAAATCCCTCTGAATCCCTCAATCCAAACGGAGCCGTAGGGCTTGAAACATAGTAGTTGAAATGCACTACAACCTAAAGGCTTCGTAAATATATCACCAAATTGATCGTCAAAACAAATATAGGGCGTAACAATACCAACAAATCATGAATAAAATGGCAATAAACCATTATATGCTTGGTGAGCTCGTGAAAAACAGGATTGCGGGTGTGGAACCTAATGTTACAAGAGAGGAGGAATAAAGAACCTCAAGCTGTTGTTCGGTGGAGCTAATGTGGAGCTTGATTGATATTGTACACCAAGGCCTAATTTCGGGAATTTTTGGGAGGTATTTTGATAATTTCTGTACTTATTATGTTACCCTAGTGCGAATATATTTATTTATTCTGAACCCTCTCTATCTGGCGTTGTTTAGATCATCATAGTGAAATCCCTACAACCCTTAAACATAATCCTAAATTTTGAGTGAACCAAGTAAAAATGTGTGTGTTTTTGTTGTTTGTTTAATCTATTTTTTATTTAATTTCACAAGATTATAGTGTTCATGTGCGGCAGTTCTTTGATCTTCTCATTAGCGTAATTAGCGTGAATAGAAGGAAAATGATGTGAAATGAAATTACAATTAGTTTAAATGGTAAAATGGACTTGGGTCATTGAAAAAGCTTAGGTTATTAAGTAGGGGTGAGTAAATAATCCATCAATTCGTCAATCCGGTCCGAACCAATCCGATCCGTGTGGTTCGGTTCAGTTTTCAGATCTCATGGTTCGGTGATGGTTTAGAAAAATAGCAATCCGCTATTTGCGATTCGGTTAACGGATTGGGACCTGAAAAATCGATCCGATCCATTTACTGAACCGATCTAATCTGTTACCTTAATTATATATTACTATATTATATATATATATATATATATATATATATATATATATATTCATTATTTAAGACTTTAAGTTAACCCTAGGTTACCAAAGTCATTAGTCATTACAGGTTTTTAATTACTAAGTTGAGATTTTAATGGCCATAAAGTGTAATCATATTGGGCTGTTTGAAAAGCCCAATCCGTGGAAACCGAACCGATCCGATTCGTTATTTTCACAGATTGGTTTGGTTCAGATTGAAGGTCTCCATGGATTGGTTCGGTTTCAAATTTCACCAATTCGTGGGAACATGATTGGATTGAACTTTATCTCCAAACCGAACCGATCCGATCCGTGATCAACCCTATTATTAAGTAAGATAATGTTTGGATTTTTAATATCTAATTGTTGGGAAGGATTGTTATATATATATATATATATATATATATATATATATATATAGTGGGTTATTCTAATTTTACAAAGAGTTTGGATTTTTAATATCAAATTGTAAGAAGTTTTTTTTTCCTCAAGAAGTAACAATAAGTAAAATAGAATAACAAACAAAATTGATTTTAGTTTAGATTTAATGTATAGTTTTGTTATTTTCTGTTAATAATATATAATGGTAATAGAAAAACAAAAGTAAAATTTTAAAATATAAAAAAGGAAAAATGATTAACTAATTGCTGTAGATTAGATTCTAAGGTCAGGATTAAAAAGTGAGTATATTTCTTGCTCATCGAGGAGCAATTAAACACCATTGTATTTATATTGAGCTTAAAATGAGCCTTGCCTATTCACGAATGTGTTCACAAACTAACGAACCAAACAGACAGGTGTTTGAGCTTTCAAAAGAACACAAATTAGATTGTTTGTTGAAAGTTTGGCTCATTTGCATAAATATAGATTTCTAAAATAAAACTTTTAAGATTTCAAATTGAAAATATTTATTAGCTTTGCGGGATCGAGTTAATTTTTATTTATTAATTTTGTGAAAGTTAGTAATATATATTTTTTGCTAAGTAAATAGTAATTCTTTTTAATATTATAAAAAATTAGATTTTAGTGATTAAGTCTAAATATTATGTTCCCAATTATAAATGTAAAAAACAACGTATAAAAGGGACCCACAAAAGTTGGTCAATATCAAATTTCAGAAAGTTCTTAGAATTTAATTATGAAGGTGCGCCGGGTAATTTTGCTTATAAACACATTTTTCATGTATGAGGCTACTTTGATGAATGCATGTGTGAACTTCTACTTCATTTACTTTTATGTTATGTTCTGTTTAATGGAATTGGTGTCAAGAAATTAAAATTAGAGAAAATTTAGATGGCTCATATCGTCGGGAGTGAAGTTATTGCGGTTTATATGTGTATATCTCTATTAGTTGTGCATATGTATTTTGACAAAATTCGTGAGCACCAAAAGCAGAGCATGGAAAGTGAACAATATTTATACGTTGATAGACGAGTTGCGACAAACGGCGTTAGAGACAATCCCTTCGAAAATGAGGAGAGTTTGCACAAGTATATAAGGGTGAGGCCAACAAGAACGTTGGGCCTATGGGTCATTTAAGAGTAATTACAAGTCCATAAGGGTCAGACCAATGAATATATTGAGTCCCAAAAGAGGTTGATTTTGAAAAGAAAAGAAAATGTTAAAAACTTGCAAACCTACACAAGTCCATAACGGTTGGGGTAGTGAAAATGTTAGGTCCTAAGTAATTTTGAAGAAGAAAATCGCAACTAAGAAGAGAGTATTCAAAGTGAAATTGTCTCCAATAATAATTGAAATTGGTTGTGCAGTGAATGATTGAGCTCATATTATATTTCCACAAGGAGCTTACACACCACATAGTGGGACACTGGGGTCCTTATTTAACAATGCATTATGGTTTCTGGAGGTTTTGCGTGTACCATCGTCTGCTTGGACTTATGTGGGTGTTCATCCACTTCTCCAGACAACAAAGATTCAAACTTGGAGGCTTGCCGTGGACTCTAAAACATTCGCCGTTCACCTCCACTTTAAATTTCAATGTATAAATTCATTTTTTTTTTTTTCCTTCTATTTGGGAGAGCGGAACTCAAATTCGGACACATCTGCTAAAAAAGATGGGAGTTTTATTGAGTATGCCCCATAAATTCAAAATATAACTAACATCTTAACTGCAAATTAAAATTTAAACGGTAAAGTACAGAAAAACCCCCCCGATTATAATTTAAACGGTAAAGTACAGAAACCTTCTTGACTTGTAGCTTTTCCAATAAACTCTCTTTGTCTAATTTTTTTTACCAAAGACCCCATCAACTATCCGAGGGGGTTAAAAGAGGTAATACTTGAACTAAAATACCCTTTTATTTAAATCTTAATTTTTTTAGAACTTCAAAATTTTATATCTCACAAATCCCGTACATTAAAAAATTATAAATAATATATGAACGGAAAGATTATGAAATAAGGATTCCATAAATATAAGATTTGTGCAAAAAAAAATCTCCATAACTATAGAGAAATAGACAATCTAAAAATCTGCTTCAACAATCTTATTTTACTTTTTAATACTCTGGCATATTTGCAAGAAAATCTACACACATATTCATTTACATACGGAGCATAACATATTAAAAATTAGCCCAACAAAGATCAATTTCATTAGATATCATATTTTGCGTCAAAGTATTTTCATTTTTTAATAGACTCGCCATTTAACAAAAAAAAAAAAAAAAAAAAAAAAGAGGCAAAATGAATATTCAGTCTCTGTTGGGGTTAATTTTTTTTTATTTTTTTATATGTTATGCTCCATAGACAAATGAAAAAAAATTTCTTGCAAATAACTCATAGTATTGTTTTTTTTTTTTTTTTTTATATAAAAATAAAATAAGATTGTTGTAATAGATTTTTAGATTGTCTACTTTTCTATGGGTATGATGTTTTGTTGAATAAATCTTATATTTCTGAAATCCTTGATTTATAAGTTTTCCGTGCATATATTATTTGTAATATTTTGTTTATCCCCTTGGATAGTTGAGCGAGGTTCTTTGGTAAAAATAGAGAAAGGGAGGTTTATTGGAAATTTACCTGTTTTAGTTTACATTCATACAAAGTAAATGAAGCCATCATAATATAAAAAGTGTCGATATTTATTAAAGAATTTTTCCAAACTATTTTTACTCCACATGTATTGGGAGGGGTACCATGTGGGGACTTGCCTAATGTAGGATATATATATATATATATATATATATATATATAGAGCATTTAATTAGCTTCTTCGTTTTTGAAGATTTATTCCAAGTACCAGAGATGACCAGACCACAATGCTTGCCCTCCTACCCCTCTAAAAAACACTCACCACCATTTGTTATGAATTGTTATTAGATCTCTCTCTCTCTTTCTCTGTGTATAGAGAGAGAGAGTGATAAGCGCCGAATATTGCATATTCAAGCGCCCTTAT